AATTCTTTCATTATGTTTTATTTCTGTGAACCTATTTTCAATTACCCAAGGCACTTTCTCGATCTTTGAATGCTTCTTTTGTTCATATAGAGCATTCTGGTTTTGCTTCTTGTTTCTTATTGCTCTGGGAAATTTTATTTTAATTTTCTTGAATTTTACTTGAGCTCCCTGTGCTTTTTCTGTTTCCTCAGTTCCCCCACCTGTTTGTTTGTTTCAGGTTCTGTCTTTAACTTTAGGCGTTTTCCTAAACTGTCTACTGGCCTTAGTCTGCTCATTCATACTGAAAAGTGTGGCAGATTGAAACTTCTACTTATGTGGGTGCAACAGAGCAGGAGTAGAGCTCATTTCGATGAGAACCTTCCTTATCCCCGTATTGATACCTATAGGTATCTTCTTCTTGAGCTGATTTTTTTCCCCCTGGAATAGAATCTTTGGTCTTTTGTCTGGGTTGTCTAAGGCTGCTCTTTTGGTTGCCTCGTGTGAGATAAGAGGTGAGTTCTGATTGCCTATGAGGCAGATGTTTCCTTAGTCCCTTTGAATCCAGTAAGGGACCTCATTTCCACCTTCAGCCTGTCTCCATTGTGACCAAGTCCATGGATAATCTGGCACAACTCTCCAGAGAATAAGCCACATGTCTTTTAGCTGACTAGGGAACACCTACCCATTGTACAGGCTAGAGACGAATGCTGGAGTCTAATCCTTCAGATTTTTAATCAATTCTTTTATTTTTGGCCTCACTTTAGACCCTTGCCTCCAAAGATACCTGCCATGCCTGAGTTTCTTCTGAGACGGGGAACATGGCACCCTGCTTCCCTGCAGACATTTAGTAAAGAGAACTGAAATCTGAATGCTTTGCCCTGTACCATCTGGTGTTTATCTTACACAATTTTAGTAATGTTTCTAAAAGTCAGCTGGTGTCTGTCCTTTCATCTCTACCTTCATGGGTTTACACCACTTTTAAATATTTTTTTTGTCATTTTAATGGAGTTTTCGGAAGGATGAGGAGAAAAGCATATATGTTTAATACACTATTATTAACCAGAATCTTTACCCTTTGCTACTGCTAAGGTAACATGATATATGATCCTGTATGATCCTGTATATATAGGAGATAAGATTCTGTATATATAGGAGACATTACTGAATGAATGGCGGCTGAGGAAATAGAGATATGGCATCATCACACATCACGCACACGTGCAATAGTTTCTCTGGTTGAAGCTCGTTGTATCCCAATCAGAGTTCATTCTGTCCTCAGAACTCTTTTCTTCTCTCCAGTTCAATTGCTGTGTCTCTTTTCCCTTAATATTTATCTAAGTCAAGGGTCAGCACATTTTTTTCTATAAAGGCCAGATAGTAAATATTTAGCCTTTGTGGGCCATAGAGTGTCTGCTACAACTACCCAACTGTGCTGTTGTCGTGAAAGGCAACTATGGCCCATATGTAAACAAATGGGTGTGACTTCGTTCCAATAAAACTTTACTTATACATGCAGGCCAGCAGGCTGGATTTGACCCTGAGGCATAGTTTGCTGATCTCTGATCTAAGTTCATGGTCATTCCAGCCAGAATCCTCTACATTGAGCTTTATTTCCACATCAACCTGCTCAGTATGTCCTGATGACTATCTTTTCAACAGACCAGACCTGTTTCTAGCATCCCTGCACGTTTCCTTCCTCAGCCCCTTGGCATTTTGACCTGTTCGTTGCAGGGGCTGTTTTCCAGTCTAACTGCTTTCTGCCCTGTAGTCCTCTGATGCATGCGCCACACTGCTTCCAAAGTAGTCTTACAAGCACAGAGCTCATCTTGTTATTCCTTGTTTAAAATACAGTGCTTTGCACGTATCTACACTGTAGGGCTTCCCAATTTTAGGTCCGTAAGAGCTATTTGAAGTCTTTGTTAAATTAAATACTTCTGGGCCTCACCCCAGAGGTTCTGGTTGTATGGATCCAAGTTGGAGGCCAGGAATCTGTGTTGTAAACAAGACATCTCAGATGAGCCTATGGTGTGCAGTCTGCAGACATTTGAGAGATACTGGTCAGGGGGGAAGGGCAAACCCCACCGTGTGAAACACAGCCGCCCCAGGCTGGCCTGTCTCTCCAGCCTGACCTCTAATGGCTCCCCCTCAGCATGTGAGGGGTCAGGCCCTTTCCCTGAAATGGCCATGTTGGCCCACCCATTTTGCTTGTCCCACTTGTAGTCATTTAGTCAGCTGTGCCATGGACTCTTTGTCTGCTTGACAAACTTCCTTTAAGGCTCAGGTACTGACTCCTCTGGTGAGTTTTCCTAAACTCCCTGATTCTTTCCATGCATGTATCTATGTACCAGTACCTATAACTTGTTAGCTGCCTTGTTTGCTTGTTTCCCTTATTAGACTGTTAATTTCTAAAAAGCAGAGATTATGTCTTCTGCATTTGTGTATGCCTAAATATTAGAGGGTACATTGAAATTGTATAGAAGTGCACTAGAAATTTGTTGATTTGATATAAGAATTAGGGGGATATTAATATATATTTTTAATAATATTAACCTGAGATAATTAAACTGAGGCTCTGAGATGTTCACTGACTTGTTTGAGGTCATATTGTCAAAACAACCAAGGACATATTTTCCCTCCCTTCCTCCCTCCCTCCTTTCTTCCCTTTCTTTGCCCCTCCCCCCTTCCTTTCTTCCTTCCTTCCTTCCTGCCTTCCTTCCTTCCTTTTGGTGATTTTTCCATTACACATGCTGTCTTCTTAATATGATGCACTAATTCCCTGTGCTCATGTGAACCTTAAATCCTGGAAGTATCCAGTGGGATTTACCAATTTGGGTATATTTATTCAATCTGTTGATTATTTAATGTTGTCTTTCTGAGGATGACTAATGACTGAAAGCAAGTCATTCAGAGTCATTGCTTTTATAAAGAGATTGGCCTCTGCACTATTTGGATTTCTGGCCATTTCTATCTTTTGATTTTCTTCCAAGAATCTAAATTGTATTTATTCTGTCTACTCTCGATAATAAATTGTGTGCATTATTATTATTGTAACTTGACAACTGACTGTTCAGGAGAAGGGAAGCTTTTGTTAGTGACAGCTTAAAGAGAGTACTACCTATATTTGCCCTTCCTGTACTTCTCACATAGCCCCTGGAACTCCGAACACCTATATCTCAAATGCTCAGCTGAGATTAAGAAGATGAAATCCAGCAAAGGTCAGGGATCACTCAGAAGGCTCTAGAACACTAGGCTGGGTTTAACATCATTGTATGGGAAAAGAGTAAATGCTAATTCTTGGTTATTGTGGTCAGAGAAAGAGGGATCATGTGCTAAGAGATGCAACACATGAACCTCAAGGGCAGTGAGTATGTGATTACTCAGTGCTCAGTTCATTTTGCCTTGTATTAAAATTTTGTTATTATTTCTGTCTCCTATCAAATAGGAAACTTGCTTTTCATTAATTTCATCTTACTTCATACATAGCAAACACTCAAAAGAAGCTTGTGAAATGAGTGAGTAATTTCAAAAGCTCATTTCAACCTTTCACTTTTGACCTTTTGTCCAATAATGATTAGCCACTGAAATGCTCCACCAGGGATAGGAAGACGGGGGGGGGGGGGCGGGGGGAGGAGGATAATTGCAAATTATCAGCCAGATAATCAGCCTAGGAAAATTGAATGTCTATATGTATATTTGGTCACTCACAACAATAAAACACAACAACAATGCAGCCTGGAGACCAGAAAATTTAACAACTTTTACACTTCCATGATTATCGTATGCTTAACATAAATAATGTCTACTTGTAACATTTGTATAACCTTTAAACACTTCATCTATTGGTATTTAAGAAATTATTATCTGCGCAGTGAAAAATAACCTGGTCTTTTTTTCTTAAACAATTTAAAATTTTATTGATTCTGTTTACATAGTAAGGAATCAGCAACTACAGTAGTTGCCACTTTAAGTGACCACAGAAAAACAAAATATATATTTATTTTACAAGTTTATATTACAGTTTTATAGAGTTAGCTACAGCATACCCGTGTTTTGCTATAAACTGTATTCCTGTGGCCATATTGGCTTTAATTATGTCGAGAAATCATGTTTGCTTCTTACCAACTTTTATCAGCATGTTAAATTTTTGAAATCAAGTGTTTTTAGAAAAGCTACTGAATGCAATTTCATTATAAATAGTACATGTACATACTCTTTGTGTGTGGTTTCAAAGTTTAGCAAGATGATTACAGACCACAGTCTGATATGGAAAAAGGAAAGGGTATTGGAATGTAAATGAGAAGGAAGAATCAAAACTCAGAACATGGTAGTAAAAATGAGCTAAAACTTAAGTGGGAATAAAAAAATATACTAACCAACTGTGAAGCTATTAGTCATCCAAAGCTAATTTAAAATCTAAAGTTTGAAATGTCTTTTGGGTTGACCAGCATCTGAGAAAGATTGGGAAGAAATTAATAAACAAGACTGTGAGTGATCTGTAAATAGAATCCATGTGGCACACAAATTAATTATTGTCATTTCTTTTTGGCCACATCTTTGGGTTTTGGTTCACTGTATTATCACATTAGATGCTGGCAGAAGAGAACATTGCTGGCTCATTTCCAACATGTGGCCCAGGGTTACTACGCGAAAAAAAAAGTAGAAACTCTGTTATATTTTAAGATGGAGTTAAAGCTCTTGGGCCCAATTTATTCCTGCAGTCGCTCTGAGAACATTGCGCTGTGTTTTGCTGGAACAGAATCAGGACCTTTTGCATTGATGTGACGGGGCAATGACGAACGTCAGGCTAAGAATGGGAATCCGTCCCCGCGGGTTTCCTCCCACCCCACCTCGCTTCCTCTCTCTTCCGTTCTCTCTTGTACATATTTTCACACACTTATCATCCCAAGTTAACCTAAGGCACTTTGCTGGGGAGATGAAAGAATGAGGCAAGAATGTACAAAGTAAGAGGCCCTTATGGTCCTCCAAAGCCCTTTCGCCTGTATGTGACAAAAAAGCACCACAGCAGTAACTGTTTTCTATTAGTTATTTACAGAAATAATATAAAAATTAGTAATAAGCTTTACAGATAGTTGTTAAATTGATTAATTTTTGTGATTTCACAAAATAGTGTTTTAATTATCATATTACACCTAATGCCACAGACCATGTTAACTGCAGCTCATGGGACAGGACGCTGCTTTCTCCTGCGCCCTGTGGGCCCTGCTCCAGGGAACTCATGTCCTGTCCCGTTTGGGGTTACTGGCTTCTCTCCATTGTAAAGATACACACGCTGGGCCCAGCCCTTTGTTGAATCCTCTGCACATCCTATAATTGTAGCTAAGTATTTACAGATGACAAAACTAAACAAATAGTGTTTAAACTACAGTAGTGAAAAAAGAATGTTTTAATAATCTTGACAAAAACCATAAGTAGCATTTTCTTTGCAGAATCCATGAGAAGGGGATTTCAAAGCAGTCTTTTGGATAGCATTCCAAGCCTTCCCCTCTTTCCCTTTGTGACATTTGGTCTTACTGGAATGTAGAAAGGTGAATGATTTTCAAAAACCCTCAGCTCTCTGATGCTACCTCTTGATCCTTCAATTAGGTTTCTAATGTCAAAAAAAAAAAAAAAATACACCAGCTCAACTTGCTTTCACATTTTAGAGTCCAGCCAATGGTTTGACACCATTAATTAAAAAAGTCCTTTGAAAGGATTTTTAAAAATTTTTAAATTGAGTGATTTAAACTTAATTTAAAAATTTTGTTTTACAGTGACACAATTTTCCTTTATATCAGATTCACATTAGTTTAAAACATTCACCTCTTTAATGGGAATTCAGAGTACGTTCAGCCTAAAACTAAGCAGTACACGAATGTACTAGAAGTTATTAAGAGCGACATTGAAGTGCTGGCTGTAAAAAATTAAGTGCTTTCATGAGGAGGCTTTCTTAATTCTCACTGCTTTTTCTCATGTGATAAATAGCTTGTAGAATGTCATGGGTCACTGTGAGTGTTGAGAAAATAATCATTCTTACACTTTTACATTGTTTTGTGCAAGCACACAGGTGTTTTGTTTTGGCAAATGCCTTATTGTTTTAGTGACTTCTGTCCAAAATAAAGAAAATGAAATTAAGTGAATATTCCTTCTTCTAAGATGAGCTGTATTTATTACTGGAACGGAAGTTGTCATATCCGTGATCATTAGCTTTGAACTTCAAGCACGACTGCTTTTCCTCCAAGGACTGTTTTTCTTCAAATGATTGGCACCAGCAGCACAGACATGACTGTACAAAGCAAAGTAACTCGTTATCCATTCATATCAGTCACTATCATGACTCTTCCTACTTTCTAGGGTTGTGACTATCTGGGCATGATCGGGAGTTCTTGCCCACTTTCTTTCCATGCTCTCCTATTTTTCCCTTTAACAACATATAATTACCTAGGTAGTATATGATAATTTTTAAACTAGAAAATACAGAGAAAGAAATGCATATCATGACAGCTCACCTCTTCATTAAAATTAAGAGGGAAAACCACTCATTCTTGATATTTACTCTTGCTTATTTGAGAAATTCTCTTAATATTTGATAAATTTGTAACTCAAGACTTTTTCCTATGCAAGTGGAAATATTACCAAACACCACACGTCTAAACACACAACTGTATATGTGCATGTGTGCATGAGTGTGTATATAATTTATTTTAATAAAATTATACTATATGTGCTACTTTATAGCCTGCTTTCCATGTCAGTGAATTTAATATTGTGTTGATGTTTTCGTCAGCCTCATGTTATGCTCATGTGCCTTTTTAATACTGTCACACAATACACTTATAAAGTACATAAATGTCTCAGTTTGATTCATCCAATTTCTTTTCTTCTGTTCATACTTTTGCTTTCTGAGAATCTATATGTATAAGAAAATGGGAGGTCCATTGTTTTCTGCTATAAAATGAGGGAGTCAATCTTGGTGAATGTTCTCTTGTAGCTCTAAATCCATGAGTTTAGGAGTAGGCAAAGAAATTAAGACTGATTTAGATTTTTTGAGGAAGCCAAGTTCTTTCCCAGTAGTGAGCTACCAGAAACAAGTGGATCATTCCCATATAAGGGAAGGCAATACGTCATTCATGTTAGATTCTTGAAGGAGTGAACGAATGGATGGGTGGACGTTACAATGCAAGCGGCCAACTGAAGAATAATAACACATATTCCACATCAAGTAGCACATCTCTGCTATACAAGCAAGATGGCAAAGAGGAGGCAAAACCTGAATTAAATGTCTCTATTTGACTTGCCAATCTCATGTCCCATATGAAAAAGATACTAACTTAGTTATAATCCAAGCAATGCTGCCAATCCAAAACCTACCAAAAATGGAAGCAATGCATTTAACTCATGCTTAGCTCTTATTTTATCATATTGTATCTGTCAGACATCAATGCATGTCCTTTTTGTTAATTTTCTGAGAGTTTCTATGAGTACAACTGATTGGTTGAGGCAGTAGGGAGTGGTTGATGAAGATTTATAGGCAGAAATCAAGTAGAGTGATTTGTGAGCAGAAGTCATATTTTAAAAAATTGTCTGTGATGTAATGCAAGGGAATATTGTAAAATAATTTACTATATCTCTTTAGATATAAATCTGAATCGTTTGGAAAGGTTACATTTGATGCCAGGCAGAAAAGAGCTTTTTATTTTGAAATACTCTCACCTTAAAACAGTTTTTGAATCTTTTGCTCACCAAATACAGAGCTATAGGATTAATGCAGGAATTCAGGGAGGCCATGTTGATGCCAATGTAGTCCAACACCAACAAGAAGCTGTAAGAAACAATCCAAAACATGTCTTTGTTGCTTTAAGCCTATATTCCTTGCAAACTTCTCCGTTTGGGGGAAGAAAAAAATTACTCACATTCAATAATTTTTTGACTTTATTACTGGTATTTGCTCATAATGATCTCTCACTCCGTCTCTCTCTGTCATGATGCCCCTCCCTCCCATGCCCAATTCTCTCTTTGACAATAAAATCTCATTTGGAAGTGCCAGATGAGAAGGCTTTGGAAAATGCAAAGGAGAATCGGGGCTTATATTTTCACTAGTGCCACCCGCACATCATTTCGATCATTTTAAGATTGAATCGAGAGTTCTGCCTCTCAGTTCCCAGTGTTCTTATTAGTCTGCTTCCTCTGCAACAGGAGTGAAGGGGAAATAATGAGAATCTTAATTGTTACCTAAAGACTAGCAAAATGGTAATCTGCCTCTGAAAGGGATCAGAGGAAAAAAACTTTGGAATGGCATTTACCTACAAAACTTGGTCTACTTTACCTTTCTTACCTCAAAAGTTCACATCTATTAGCATCATTCTGATCATAAAGAGTGAGCTTCAAAATCCTGCTGAGGTGAAGGGGAAGCCAGCATAAGGCGAAGACAAGGACCAGGCAAAAGACTGTTTTGGCCACTTCCCGTCTCTGTAATAAAACCATAGTCAGAGACTAAATAGATGATTCAGATAATCACAGTGTTCTCCCTTCTCACACAGAATATTTAATATTGTTTACAAAAAGCCAGTGACATTTGTACAAATTCAGAACATCAAGGTTTAAATTGAATAGTTATTGTGAATTAGAACTAAAATGACTAGAGATTCATCTTTAAAAAGTAATGGCTCTTTCTAGATCTTTTAGAGTACATAGAATATCTCTCGATAGATAATATAAAAAAAAATTCTTTGTATTTTCAAATATACCAGAAGAAAAAAGAAGTATACTCTAGTGTATAATAATTTTAATTTATTGTCATTGTAATAATTTTCTCATTCATAATTATAATACAATCATGAGTGAACACATATTTCTATTTTCTTACCTGCTTTAAGTGGTCATTTAAAGCAATCTGCATGCCACTCTTCTTTCTCAACATTTCGCAGGTCATCAGAGTATAAAAAAATGCAGTGATGGCTAGTGGCAAGCAGAAATAGAAACTAAATAGCCACCAATCTTTAGCTGTCTTATAAAACTATGGAGAGGAGAGAATTCTATGATTAACATTAGTCTGTAAAAAACATATTATATACCAAATGCTAAAGTTAAAAAAAATACTCATCTACTTCTAAAGTAGATCCATTTCATAAACACTATATAGAATATTTCAAGCCACATCTACTGAACAAATAGTTAAATGAAATAGTTAAGTGAAAGAAACTTCCCCTAAAGAGCAGTTCAATTCTCGAAGGCAGTGTGCTGTAATTATGCACAAAAATGTAAGCAGTTGGGCAAAATTAAAAATATTTGGTAATTCAAATATTTTTGTCTTCACACAAGCAAATTATCCTTAAGTAAACACATCCTTAAGGTACTCTTTCTGTGAAATATCACATCTGAATGTGTAAAGATATCCTAGTGTTTAAGGGAAGCACTCACTTATTAACAAATGTGTTTCCTGGAAAAAAAAGATAGGTATGGAAAGGTCTGTTATTAATTAAGAAATGTATAAGTCTCACTTATCAATTAGAAAATCAAAGCTGCTTATGACTTAGGCCTTTTCTATTATTCTACTTCCGCTCTTTTTTTTTTTTTTCCAACTGTGTTGGAGCAGAATTTTTGTAATCTATGCAGTACTTTTTCCTTTTAACTAATAAGACACAAGAGGAAAGCAATCTCATTCTCAACTTCACATTAATGTCCCTCTTTTTCTTTTTATTACCAGGATACATGTATAATCCCTAATGTTGTATACGGTCTTCTTATATGTGAAATAGAAAATAACCATTGGTGACACCTGCATTAACACCTCTTAATCCATTCTGTTGGGAAGAGTCTTTTACACTTAAGATCTATCTTCAAATACCAGCATTGCCATTACGTCCCTTGTTTCCTGATTAAACATTCCTGAATAAATGGTCAAGATGAAAAGTTCTTTGCAATAGCAGCTTTCCCTTTAGAGAGAGGACCGGCTTGCCATTCTGAACCCTTCCACATCTGAGCATCTTCCCTACTTGATCATTCACAGAACCATCCACTCCCTTTGATGGTTGCTGTGTTGTCTTATGAAGAACATGTAGTAGTTGGCAGTCCTTCTGGAGGAGTTGAGCTATAAGTTCAAATCGAACCTGTCATGTGAACTTGCTTTACCCGTATCCCTGAACACCAGGGAATTCTTGCAGAAGTAGGGACCTAGCTTTCCACCGCATGGGTCATTAGTCACTGTTAGCCCCACAGTCCTGGGGCTTACACTCTTAATTTATGCCAAGGACAGTCATAAATCAATAGCTTTCCAAGTAAGGAAGATCAGGCAAAAAGTAGCTAAGTATTTACGAGGCAAGAACAGAATGGAAAAGGTAAAATGCACCTGCATGAAGGCTGTTTTCTGAGTAGGACGAAGCAAGCAGATTCGCAGGTAACGTCCTTTGTAGTCAATGGTTATCATATCAAAGCCCACGGCTTCAGGGACAGCCAGAACCACGGAGACCACCCAAATTAAAACAATTTCTACTGCTGTCCATTTTGGAACTCCGATTCCTTTAATTCGGCTCCAAGAAGCAACGGCTCGATATCTGGAGAACAAAGTAGAATTATTTGTCAAGCTGCAGAGCCTGCTTTCATTGAATTACATAGTTTATTTTCTAAGTAACATAGCAATAGTACGGTGTTCAGGATATACCCAGCTTAAATATACGCTCTTACCTGTCAATACTTAGAGCACATAGACTCAACACAGTGATTCCCACGGAGGCCTTCTGGATGAAAGGCACCAGCTTACACATCTCAACTCCAAAGGGCCAGTCCTCGGCAAGCAGCTGCATTGAGAAGACATGAAGCTCTGTTAGCAAGATTTTCACACGGTGCCCTCTGAACTGCATTACTTAGTGGACAGTAATTAACATGCAGAGTCAGAAAACCAACCCCAGTTCTTCTTTTCCTCATAGACTACTCCTTTGAAAAGCATCAGTGTTCGATATATGGATCAGGAGAGTGGTTGGGAATAAGGAAAATGCAGCCAGTTCATGAGAATTTGTTATGCATACACAGTAGCTTAGGATCAGAATCTCAACCATTGGGCCAAGTGGGGCCAGTCTTTTGAGTTCCCCTTAGAAAACTGAACATGATGCAGCAAAAACATCTCTTCTACTGTCATGGAGTCTCACATGCTCAGGTCATGGCCAATCTAAAATATAGATGATAAATGTTAAAAACAGATGATAACTGTTCTTCAGCTGAGGAGACTAGACTCTTCCTGTGGAGAACAGAGTGTGCATTTGTATATTTCTTCTTCTTTACTGTAGTCAACTTGACTACCCAGGAGCTCAGCAGGAATACGTACACTGCTCCTTGAAAGCCCCAGACACACTCCTGTGTTAGGGCTTTACTCTAGGTGTTTCCTTATTCTGGAAGGTTCTTTCCCCACAGATCCACTCGGCTCACTCCTTTACCTCCTTCAGAACTTCCTCAAGCCCCATCTCTTCAACATAGCCTACTTGAACCACTTTATTAGTATCGTAACTAGCCAGGTTCCAATCTCTGTTACTCTGCTCCACTTTCCTTTCTATCCATAGCACCTATCAACAATTATTGCATCTATTATAACATTCACTTTTTTATTTTGTTCAGTTTTTGCTCTCTGGAATCCTTAGAGTATAAGAGAATATGGCCTCTACAACTGCCTAATATAGTTCCTGCCGTGTTGTGGATGCTTAATATTCAAATCTCTAAAATATATAAGCACCAGCTCTACCACGAGTAAAAAGACATAAGTTCTTGCTATTATATATATATTTCTCTCCATCTGACTTTAGACTGTGCAACCATCTATTGTGAAAATCAGTTAATTTCTTTCTTAGGACAACTGGGTGTGCCCCACCCTGGTTAATGAATCACTTTAGGTAAACATCTGGGTTGAATGTTCATGAGGTTTTGAAAATAAAGAAAAGTATTTCACATCAATGTTTTTTAAAAATGCTTTAAAAAATAATCTTCCAAAAGTAAAAACTATTTTGAAACACAATTGAGTCTTTCCGTCCTTTCACTTTAGTGACGTTTTTTGTAGAGTCTGTCAAGCTGGGTGATTGTTCCAAAATGACACCAAAGGCTGAGCTGTGTGTCTCATGTGAATGTGACTTGGAGCTCCAACATGAGACCAATTTTGTTTCCAGGCTAGACACGAAAAGTGGCACTGACATGTAGGACAGATGTTTGCAAACTTATCACAGATATGTTTACTCTAGGGTCCTGAAGATCTACTGGGCCAGGCAGGTAACACAGAGGGGTAAAGAAGTCTGGTGTAAGAAAGTCATTGGTGCCAGGAAGATAATACAGAGTGGTAGGGTGTGGGGTAAGTCCTATCTAAAAGGAGAAGCTGCTTAAAAACCATGACATGATTTTTGCCAAGGAATCCCAAATTAAAACAACAACAGCAGCAACAACAAAACCTCTTGATTTTAATTTAAAAAATTGGAATTTTTATATAAAACCTCATAATTATAAAAGTTGCCAGCTAACTCATATTTAAAAAAACACTGTGGAATAACATTGTATTAACAAAAATATGTCTGTAGATCAGCCTAGTCTCTCCTTGTGACTTCTGGATTAATCAACTGAGTCAGAATTCTGCTTGTTCATTCATTCATTCATTCATTCATTCAATGAGCATTTACTGAGCATTCAATATATGCCAGACACCATTCTGAGTACAGGGTGCATATCAATGAACAAGGCAAACTCCTTGCTTTCCTAGAGCTTACAGTCTTGTGAAGGAGGCAGATTAAAAAACACACACAAATATTTAATATGGTGTCACATAGGTACTGTCATTATATGAAGAGAGTATGGTGGGATTTGGAGTAATTTCTTGACAAGCTTATCATGCAACATCTTTCTGAAGAGGCAGCATATGAGTAAAGGATCTGACTAATATAAGATAGTAAGCCATGCAGAGCATTCTGGGGAGAGGAAAGAGCAAATGCAAAGGTCTTGGGTAGAAAAATAAACCTAGTGAACTGACCTTTCAGGAAGAAGCCTATCAAGGCTATAATAGAGTGATGCAGGCCAACTATCTAAGAGATGAAGCTGTAGAGGGGGAGGTCTAAATAATTTCTAGAGGAAATTCACTGTCAGGTTTTAAACAGAGAAATGCCATGGTCATATTTATGTTTTTTAAAAATATCACAGTCAGGGGTGCCTGGGTGGCTCAGTTAAGCACCTGACTCTTGATTTTAGCTCAGGTCGTGACCTCACAATTTGTGAGTTTGAGCCCCACATCAAGCTCTGTGCTCACGGTACGAAGCCTACTTGAGATTCTCTGTCTCCCTCTTTCTCTTGGCCTTCTCTGCTCGTGCTCTCTCTCTCAAAAATAAACACACATTTACAAAAATAATAACAAAAGATCACTGTGGCTGCTCAATGTAGAATAGAATGTGGGGTCAAGAAAGAAAGCTCTAATGAGAGATTGTGGTCAGCTGGACCTTGTGGTGACTCGGGGAACAGAATACGTTGTAGACCAAATATTTTCTTATATTTGAAGGGAGGGCCAGCAGGACTTCTTTTGGTTCAGATATAAGATGTGAGAAGTCAGGAAACTAAGGGGTTTGTCATATAAATGGTGGAAGCATTTACTGAAATGCGGAAGACTCAGGGTGCCTCAGGGCTGAACTAGCTATGAACTCAAGATGCTTTAAAGGAACTGCCGATTGACCTTGGAAACATAAGAATAAAAAGGTTCCAACCAGTTCCAAAGACCCTACCAGACCAGCTTCTTACGAATTATCCAGACAATATTCTTTCTAATTCTGATTGTTCTTAGAGGTATTGGGGCGGGGGGAGAAAGAAAACAAAACTAACAGTTAGGCATTATTCTAAGTTCTTTGCACATACCATATCATTGACATCCCTGAAGAAATCCTATGAGATAGTACTACAGATCCCCATTTTATAGATAGGAACACTGAGGTGCTTAGAAGTTTATTAACATGCTGTGTTGGTTTTAAATACGTCCACAAATTCTTGGCTGCTCCTTCCTCTAAAATGTGAAACCTCCTTTCCCTTTCCCTGAATGTGGGTTGGCTTTAACAATTTGCTTTTCACAAACAGAATGGGGTGAAAGTGATGATGTGTGATGGCTGAGATTGGTTCACAAAAGGCATTCACATCTGGTAGATGGCTCATTCTTGGGGAGATCGCTGCCACATCAGGAGGACACCCACGTCTCCAGGGGCAGGCCAACATGGTGAGCGACTGAGGCCTCCTGGAAACGACCAGCAGAAGTTTGCCAGCTATACGAATGGGAGATTCCTCCAGCTTTAGGCAAATCTTCAGAAAACTGAAGCCTTTGGCAAATATCTTGGCTGCACCCTCATGAGAGACACTGAACAAGAGCCACTCAGCTAAGCGGTTCCTGAATTCTAGAGCCACAGACCGGGTGTGAGATAATAAATATTTACTGTTTCAAGCCACTGAGTCTTGGGGTTATTTGCTGTTCACCATTCGACAAGCAATGTATTTGTCCTTGGTTTACTCACTTGGTTACTTGTCCTGATAACTTGTTTTATTACTCACTGAAGTAACCGATCCACATTTGAACCCACATGTTCTGATTTTAGAGTCTATATCTGACCATAGAAGAAAGTTTGTTTACAATTAAATTGACATTAGTATTTTGACCCATAGCTATGTGTCAATAATAAAATATCTAGATGCAAAATAAAGTCTCTCCTTCACCTATTGTCTTATTCAGATAATATCCAAAAATTAAGATATTTCTAAATATCTTATTTGCCTCAAACTATTTCCAAAGATGCAACTACTAGTATCACCCAGGTGCAGGCATCAGATGAATCTAGATGAATGAGTGTCCAGGCCACTGAAGGGAAAGAAGTCTGGCCAATGGAAAGGAGTTCTGCAATGAATCCAGGCCCTGTTTTGAGGTTACTATTGTTTTTGGCTCAGCCAGGGATTGGATGATTGCTCTTCATACCACTGGGAGGCCTGCGGCTCGACCTCTGACCCAAGTTATCACAGAGGACAGGGAAACACAAACTAAAAACTGTAACCATTCTCTTCACATTTGACGCAGAGATCGTCAGGAACCTAATCATAACTGAGGGATTCCAGTGTTCTGATCTCCCCTTCCAAAGGGAAAGGATCTACAACTAGGGAGCATTAACCTTTGTTAGCTTTTAGCAGCCTTTCAATTCAGGCTGCTCATCCTGGGAGGGTGCAAAAGATGAGAGACAATGTGCCCACCGTCACTTCTATTATTTTGTAATGAGAAGGGTGACTTTGGCAACCCCTGCCTCTCTCCAATCAGAAGGCTTTGTGGAGACGCTGAGAAGCCAGACACCCAGTGGCAGAAACCATGCCCACTTCTGATGCTCATCTCAGTCTTAATGGCTTCCAGTAAGTCTTAGGCAATTTAGTTCTGGGAGTTTATTTAAAATGCAAAGACATTGGGATGCTTGGGTGGCTCAGTTAAGTGTCCGACTTTGGCTCAGGTCACGATCTCACGGTTCATGGTTTCAAGCCCCACATCAGGCTCGGGGCTGATAGCTCAGAGCCTGGAGCCTGCTTCCAATTCTGTGTCTCTCTCTTTCTGTGCCCCTTTCCAGCGTGCACTGTCTGTCTCTCTCTCTCTCAAAAATAAATAATAAACATTAAAAAAGTGCAAAGACATCAACCTCTTGCTTATCAGTGAACAAAACCCCAAGTGGAGGTAAGGGAAGATCTACTAAAGTGTAAAGACAAAAATCACTCTCAACCAAGATGCCATCTTTAAATTTTGGTGAAAGAGTATTCTTATAGATTTTTG